AATATTATATGGTATTTTAGGTACAGCCCAATAAAATAGACTATGAGTAGAAAATTTAAATATTTGCCAATTTCTCTTCAACATTTATTCATGGAACTATCTGTGATAATTCTAACTCATTTCAAGCATTTTACTTCTTTTCAAAGGACTATATTTTAATGGGTATCAATTTTTATTTAAAATATTATCACTTTCCTGGTTACAGTCAAATAAATTCGTCTTTCTTTCTTTTCTTTCTTTCTTTCTTTCTTCCTTCCTCCTTTCCTTTCCTTCCCTTTCCTCTCCTTTCCTTCTCTCTTTCTCTCTCTTTCTTTCTTTTTTTTTTCTGTTTAAAGGCTCAAAGTCATTTTTAGTTTCTTTTCTTGCTCCTTCCTGATCCATGATAGCTCTTGGCTGTATGTTTTCTTTTCCCTTTAGCATTATCCTACGATTGGTTATCATTGCTTCACTCCTGAATAGCTTCACTCCTTAATAGCTCCTTAGCTCGCGACCTGCTTCTAGCTTCTTAATTCTTAAATCTATCTTTTTTTTTTTAAATTGCTGTTTACAACTCAACACTGCTTTTATTATTATGACTAGTGTTAAAAGAATTTACCATATATTAAGGGAATAAGACATAGTGATGCCATCAATTGAAAGGAAGCAGTGAAATAATTTTTACAAAATAATGAGGCTATATACTTAGAAATTCTAAATTAATTCATTAAAATTATTTTGTCAACATTAATGAGAACTTTCATTAATGAACACTACAAAAATAAGTTAAAAATCAACAGTTTCACTATATTCACTTTGTGAGAACATTTTCGTGAGCTTCTGGACTTAATCTAACCATAGAAGCTACAACCCACTAGGAGATGTATAAGGAATATCTATCCCTCTCTTTCATATCGCTAAAACTTTGCATCTTAAAGCAATGTGGTCTGTTGGCCTAACAAAGGCTGTTTTTACCCCCAAATCCAAGTGTCTTTCCATCATGAAGCCAACAGTGTCGCTATACTCAATTTCAGAAGAGTCTTTGCTTATATTTTTGTAACTATAGCTTATTTAGAGTGGTTCTCTCAGAAGGAAGGAATTCTTTTCTTAAGA